ACACACACACACACACACACACACACACACACACACACACACACACACACACAGAGTCACACGGTTTTGGGTTTTTTTAGGAGGCAACCAGGGTTTAAGTGACTTGCCCAAGGTCACATAACTATTAAGTGTGTGAGGCCACATTTGAACTCAGGTCTTCCTGTCTCCTGGAACGGACGGCGCCACCTAGCTGCCCCTCACAATTAGGTGATAGGAACCTCTCAACCTCAGTTGCCTCATCTGTAAAATCAGGATTATCTCGCAGTTATTGTGAAGATCAGATCCTTAAAACGCTATGTAAATATGAGCTACTATTATTAAAAAAGGATTAAATTTCAGGCAAAATTAGGATCAGTTCTCAAACTAGAAAAGCCCATTACTGGAATCATAATTCAGAAACACAGGCATTGCTGCATCACGTACCAGCCCTGGATGTGTGCTCTTAGTTGGCTGGGTACAGGATTTCCCTGCCAGGAGTAATCATTATCCTTTTACTTCCGGCCATCGTGTCACCATGATGCCTGCAATCCCACTCCTTGCTCCAGCCACTCAACCTCAGAGTCAGCCCCTGGGTCCTCTGGTGGTGATATGTGAGCTTTCCTTTTATTTTGCCGGCCAGTAGGCCTTCATGCCAATTTCTAGCCCTCTCACTGCCAGGGTGCCTATGGCCATCATCCTCTGAAAAGTGAGATTTTGTTGGAAGCAGGACTTCCCTACTCCTCTTTCCAGTCCCCCTGTTTAGATTCTCTTCCCCAATGAGACTGTAAACTACTTGAGGTTAAAGACTTACTTGCATTTCTATCTGCAGTGCATTGCACAGTGCCTGGCACATAGTAAGTGTTATCTATCTTTCTTTACAAGTTTCTTTCTTGTTAAAATTGAATTTTGCTTTAAGTTTTAAATTCTCTCTCCCCCTCTCCACCCATTAAGGGAAGAAAACCAAAATCCATTACATACATGCATGTACAGTCATGCAAACAAATTCCCACAACTGTCATGTCCAAAAAGAAAGAAAGAATGGAAAACAAAGAGAAGAAAATATGCTTCTATCTGCACTCGATTCTATTAGCTCCTTATCTGAAGGTGGGTAGCACGGCTCATCATAAGGCCTTTGGAATTGTGGCTGGTCATTGCATGATCAGAACTGTGTTTTTCAGAGCTATTACACTTATCTCATTTGATCTTTACCGTTACAGTAATGAGGGAGGAAGAACGGGTACACGTAGAAACTGAAGTTTGGAGAGATTAAAGAACTCATGGTCACCCAGTTAACAGGGCAGTGCCTGAGGCTCAACCCATTTCCAGCACCTAGAGGTCAGAGTGGGAGGCTTTTGCCAGTACTGAT